TCGCTACGAGACCCATTTGCTTCGCTTGACAACAACCGAGGAATTTGACTACTGTTTAGAAAAACTAATAATAATTAGAAAGTATATTATACTATCAAATAAATATATATATAAAATAGTATATTCGCTATCTAGTAACTAAGGAAATTTAACTCTAAACTTTAAATTAAGTTTCGAAAGGATTGGAAATGCTTAGTAGCTTACTTTGACGGCTAGTTAACTCGATCGCATTTTCCTTAAAACGCCTAAGTGTTGCATTGTGTTCAATTAATTTGCGCTGTGATTGSTTTAAGCCACAAACAAGTTGGCTATGCGGCTTTAAACATGATTTGTGCCACATACTCTCACAATTGCAGCATTATTTTATGACTTTTATTGTACGCAGTGGCAAGACTTGATTCGTGGGCTTTTGACAGCCGTTATGGCAGGAATGCTGTCTACCGGCTAACTCGCCGCCTTAATGTTGCTCGGCTGGCTCGGCAACGAACCAATTACGTGCCCCTTGCAACATGATGTAAGCCGTCATCTGACATTTCGACAAATGTATCAAATGCAATTACGAAATAGCGCCACATCAAACCGCTTTCCTGGGGTTTCTTGCATTTTATGTTAGCCAATCTTACTTAGTCGTGCCATAATATGAATGAATGTATAATATGTATGTAGAGCGGCGCCATTGCGGTTRTTGATAAATGACCATAAGAAATGCTATTAATGAGCTCTTTGCGAGTAAATTACGAATTACTAAGAGTTTCCGGCACTCTGCTGTAATATTTGTTTATAAATTTTTTTTTAAGTATAAAAATAATATATCCTCTGAAGTTTTTAAATTTTTTAAAAATCAAAAAAAAACTCAAAAACAGTTCTTTGAAGAAAGCATATGGCGTATGTCTGTTCGCGAGCATGCGAAAACTTTTCTATTTAATAATGCTCAAATGGCTTTCTATAGTTCTGTGAAGGTAAACAAGGTCTTATTTGTACTTATTTCGTTTTGCCTGCGTTCTCAGCCATTAAAGCTTGCAAATAGGATTTTATGGAGCTCGTAATAAGATAAAAAAAATACTTAAAACTCATCAAAAACAAAGTCTACTGGAAAGCTGACTCTTCCGTTCAAAGATTACTCATAATACGTGAAACAGCTGCTGGTGAGTGGGGAAGCGATAGGCATTAAAAGCGAATAATGCGCCTAATTGCCATTGACACCTTGACCAAGGCGACGTTGAGACGATGCGTTGCTGACAATGACGGTGMCTGCTGGTGACGACTCTGACGCCGCGCTGATGCTGACAGCAACATTGTGGCCACTGGTGTTTCGCTGTTTGTCCAAGCGTTTCGTCGCGTGTCAACGACATGGTTGGATGGACTAGTGTTTTCAGCGGCAGGTCGCGCGCCAGGCGTCGAAGACCTTGTTTTGCATCATTGGCGTTGAAAGAACGGCTTGGGAGCTCGTGGCTGTGTTAGTTGGCTTTGTTGTGATTACTGTTGTCAGCAGCTGAAAGGTGTTAGCTTCGGCACGCATGCGCGTATTTGCTTAATTGTTTGTAACAAAATGCGGACCGGTGAGTGAAAGTAATCTAATCGCGTGCAACATGTGGCTCATTGACTTGTTGGTCGATTGGAAATGAATCCGCAAAAAATCAAGAGTTTCATAAATATTAGTTGCTTTCGATCTYTTAACAGGCATACCTAAATATATTTTCATTTCAAACTATTCCAGCTGATATCCATAAAATATAAAACCCATGAGCTTATTTGTGCGAAGTTCGGGCACAAT